AGGTATTAAACTGATAAAAATAGTACTAAACACTCCACTCCTATCTGGTGTCACATTAGCTTGACCGCAGTGCCCCAAATTTGCAGTAAGAGGACCGACCAAGCCTCTTCTTCCATCTCCCTGTTACAAAAATCAATGCCGTGTACACGACCACTGATAGGAGACGCGGAAGGTATTAAACTGATCAGAACAATAGTAAACACACCACTCCTATCTGGTGTCACATTAGCTTGACCGCGGAGTGCCCCAAATTTGCAGTAAGAGGACCGACCAAGCCTCTTCTTCCATCTCCCTGTTACAAAAATCAATGCCGTGTACACGACCACTGATAGGAGACGCGGAAGGTATTAAACTAGATAAAATAGTACTAAACACACCACTCCTATCTGGTGTCACATTAGCTTGACCGCGCAGTGCCCCAATTTAATGTGATCTGTGAGTAAGGTAAACGGTTGTCCATACAAGTAGGTTGCAGCTTTGAGGGCCCACACCACCGCCATGCACTCCTTTTCAATGGCAGTGAATATACTTCGCTGTGCAAAAGTTTACGGCTTAGATAAAAATCAATGCCGTGTACACGTCCACTGATAGGAGACGCGGAAGGTATTAAACTGATCAGAACAATACTAAACACACCACTCTTTTTTGGTGAGGCTTTACAGGACAGAGTGCTTCTCCACGGGACATGTTAACTCACGGGCAGCTGGCTCATCAAGGAACCACAGCAGCTTTCCATGTACAGGTAAGACACGTGCAGCCGGTAAGGGTTCAGGCTCTTCTTCCTGGAGGATACGCTGCAAGCCTGTTGAACGAGGTGACCTTGTTCGGGTCCCAGGTGTACGGTTCCTAAAATGGCTGCCATATACACGTCCACTGATAGGAGACGCGGAAGGTATTAAACTGATCAGAACAATAATAAACACACCACAAATAAGGTTTTCCTGTATGGTTCTCAAATGATGCTTAAGATTAGAAGCGCCGAAAAGCATTTCTCACACTCTAACAAAAATATATTTTTTAACATTCTTCCACTTTGAACGAAATGACGTTTGGGAAGAGATTAACATAATTAAACACAGGAAGTAAAAATACAGTTTTTAGCCATACACTGTAACTTTAAAACTACACATCCCATCTTCATAATTACATATTTGATATTTGGAATCAGCACACTTAAAACATAAACATAACCAAAAATCAGCCAAATCCATCCAGGGGTTAAAAGTTAGCTGGAGGTCCCTTTATGACCGACCGCAAGCACATTTTCCTGCCCAAAACAGTTCCATAGATTTGGGCTGTGAGGTCGGTCTATTTCAGGCTGAAAAAACGAATGGGACTTAGTCTCTGCAGCTGAAATAAGGCTGAAAAAAACGGCTGAAAAAACGACTAAGTCCCATCGCCGAATGCAGCTGAAATAATTTCCCATTTACTGAACCAAGTGGGAAATAGCCAGGCAGGCACAAAGGGTTTGCACCAGGTCTGGGGACACAGGGGACACCGCCTTAAAGGGGCCGTGTCCCCAACAAGTCTGGGGACACGGCCTTAAAGGGGCAGTGTCCAAATCTTCCTGATGTCCCAAAAAAGGTGTTTAAAGGGCCAGCACCAGTC